TTCTCACTTAAGATGAAGGCTTACAGAACAAAATAGTTTCTCATTTAACAGTTACTACAAATGTTGCCCTATGACAATGGTTAACAATCTCACATCAACAATATCCTTACTCAACCTTGGGTTCCCTCTATAGGGACTCTTATGTAACCACACATCTCTTTCCTCACACTGGGGCACCAAGCTAATTATAAAAGTCTGCTTAAATCTATCCACCTGTCTTTTGTTTTGCTGCCTACCTGGGCCTTTTTCAAGCAGGCAGAAAATCTCCAATCAGTCTGTTACCACAACGAAAACGCAAGAGATTAGTGACCACAGAGAGAAGCAGAATCAGTTTACATCCTTTCAGGCAAGATAATGATATTACTTCACAAGCAAGAAATCTGAGTGCCCCCAACCTTGATGTAGAAACCTGCAGCTAATAATCACATTAAAGTTGGTTTTACATGCCAGACAGTTTTTGTTTCCTCTGTTGTTTTTACAATTTGAATGTTCTTTGTGGTTACCAAAATTATTTGCTGAAAGGCACACATTAACATTGAAAACATTTAATCCATAATAAAGTAGGCTTTATAGCTTAGGTATATCTTAGTTAAAATATACTTCCCATTGATTTTTTAAAAAATTAACAACATTGCTTGTATTTATCCAGAGTAGAATTCAGCAATCTAATGGTGTTAATCATGACAATTAATACACTTAAAAAACTCCTTTCTTAATTGAGGTATAAAACAGACTTTTCACTATAATCTATCAACCCAAATAAAGAATTTGTAGATCCCATCATGCTACCCTCCCACCTCTCTCAAAAAAAGGTCAATTGTTTGTCTAAGGAAAGATAACTAAGTCTGCAGCTATCAATTCAGCAAGGAAAACGGTGAAAGAACAGATGTGGAAGACAGAAATGGTACAGGTGATCAGACAGAGGTTCTGATTATAGCAAACTGAACTTGGTTTCTTTTTCATAATCAAATACTTAATGAAAACAAATTTAACACCATCAACCAAAAAGAAGTATGAGTAATCTTTTAAAGTGTGGTTAACTTTCACTTACTAGAGGAACTGTACTAGCCACAGCTTTGAACTGGTTCATTCCAGTTTGGACCCCTGCTGAGAATTTGCATTTCCACCCCAGATATACTGAATCAGAATCTGCATTTTAATATTTGTTAAAATGTAGATTCTCAGCAGGGGTTCAAACCCGAACAAACTGGTTTGAAGCCCTGGTACTAGCTGAATCCCTTTCAGCTGCTTCAATGTGATTCATAAGTCATCCCTGTGTTTAAACATTAGTTATCTCAGTCTTCAGTAACTGTTCCTTTTAGACAGTGATTTAAAGTTTGTGTGTATAGTTACTGAGTGAAATGTGTAGTTCAGCTATGAAAATGATGCTCACAGAATGAAAATATACTGAGTCTATATAAATATAGCTGACATAGAAGAAAAAGAATAACAATTACAATGGCATTTTTTTGTGCCACAAAAATTTAGGTTTATCAAATGTTTATTTTCAAGCTGCTTTTGGTATTATGAAAATAGAACTAATACTTGGCAAAAAAAAAACAAACCCTCAAAAAGTCATGTTTGCCACTTTCATGATAAAATAAAACATATCTATTACAGACATGGAATCAGTCGTCCTTGGGTAATTCTATAATTCTAGGGAGAAAAAAAACTAAAACAATACTTTTGCCTGTAAAAAGACTACTCTTATAAATTACGTACAGATTTTCTACATCTATGATACTAACTAGCCATCCCAAGGATCTATTGGCTATATCATGTATATTCTAAGCATTTTTTAAACTTTCATCTCTCTCCTCTTAAAAACACTGATACAAATTTAACCATATATTAATGACAACAAATTAATTTAAAATATCGCTCTACTCAGTTTCCTATCCGCCTTTGGCATTATTAACTGTAAGGCCACAGAAAAATAGTATTTAAAAAGTTAAAGGTAGTGTTATCTTCAGTGGAGACAATAAATTTAGTGAACTATTTTTTTTCAGTAAGCAGTTGAACTAAAAGTACTGAGGCCCTTTTAAACCAATGTTTCATGAATTCTTAAAAAATTAAAGGAATAATTTTTGTCCATCACTATATTGATAGTAATTGTGTAGTCAGAGGGTCATAGTACTTAAAATATCAGTAACCATAAAACGTCTTAAATTGGTCAGATATTTACTGATAAGTCATTATTAATTTATCTTTTACAAACAATTTTAAAACAAGATAATACAATGCACATACCGATAACATTCTTAGCAGAGGAAAAGATATCCTTATGGTTCCTTCCCACTCACCTAAGATAACTGGTCTCTTCACGAAACATAGCAAAAAAAATTTTTGTTATAAGCTACAATAGCTATTTTTCCATGCAATCAGATTTAATTGCTGAAGCCAAAATAATGCAAAAATTTTATAAAAATTCAAATAATACTCTCTGAATTGTGGTTTTAAAAAGATCTATCCAGTAGTAAAAATGTTCACATATGTAATTTAAAATTCCCAAAGCAGCTCCTATACACATACACCAAAAAAAAAGAAAGAAAGAAAAAACCTGACAGTAATGTTTTTTTTTTTAAGTTTGCTTTTAAATAAAAAAGTGGAAGTTTACTACGGAAAAGAACTTCTAGCCTTTCAGTAACAAGCTGCTCTGTTTTGTAGCTGTGATTATTAATCATTTTGCATGGTTTTTTATCGTTCATTATCAAAAAAGACCCAAAGGTATACTAAAAGAATGGAAGGGAATATTTGAATATTCACTTTCAGGGAACGCCTTAAAATTTTTAGATCTGTAGGACTTATTTAAATTTAGTAAAGAATTTGTTTATTTAGTAAAGAATATTTACTATTCTTTATGAATATCTTGCAACCATATTGATGAAAATAAAGATTTCCCCCAATTTCAATTAAACATTTGCTGAGTATTTAATACATGTTAGGAACTGTGCTGTGTGCTTTTCATAAGATTCTCTGCCTTAAGTTTCCTGAATGAAAAAGCACCCAAAGTGCTGAGCCAAAAACTTTCCAAGTAAACACTTTATTTTAAATGTTAGATACAGTCATTCATCTTTATATATATTTTTTGTTTCTCCTGGTTAAACAACTTGTCAAAGTGGATGGTGGGTATCAACCTTGAAATAAAAATTCAAACATTCCATTTGCATTATAGGAATACTGCTCATTTAATTAACGCAAACCACCTGTCTAAATACCAATAGCAATCTGTACTTCAATGTTAAAAAGATCCAGCTGAAATACAACTTCTCTAACTCTGATCAGTCTGAGAACTATTTTTTCCACAGTTAAAGGGATCACTATAAACACAAAAACTGGCATTGTTTTTCTGTGATTAGGTTACAGTAGCTTAAGTCTCTAAGCACTAGAATCCCCCACACACTGATCAGTTACAGCTGTCAATTGTGGAGCAGGGGACTAGCTGACATCTGCTTCTTGCTTATTTCGTTAATGGTTCACTTCCAGGTCCTACAAGGATTGTAGCCTTTCTCCAAAGATAACGTCAGACCCATCTATGTCTGCCTTCTACATAGTCTGCTTGTTCTGGTTTGTCACTCTCCATACAATGCAAATCTGAGTGAACTCACATCTGTCACCGATCGACCCAATTCGTGGGCAATCTTTTCCCATCGACCTGGGGTCCCTCCTGGGAACTTAACCATACTTCTTGTCAGTTGGCTGAGGTCCTCTTCTGTCCACTCAGGTGCCTGCAAAACATTTTTTTTTTAAAAAAAAAAGATAATTGGGAGAATGTTTGCTAAAACATTTAACAAGCTTGTGAACCAAATTATTGGCAATATGGTTTCTAAAAGGCAACAATATTAAAATGCATCTAGTGTTTATATAATGGTTTGTGTTTCATATTTAACATTAGAAGGCAAAGCTTCAGCAGCTTTTTGTATTTTCCTATGTATACAGGTATGTTGTGAAACCAGGTTTTTGAAGGAAAAAAAAAAAGGCAATTTAATTTTGCTTTAAAGTGAGGAACCATTCTCAAAACCTATGAAACTGTGTCACTGCTGCTTATAAATGCCTTTTATAATAATGCTAATATAAGAAGTCTTTAAGTTTTAAGAAAAAGTGAACAAGTAAATGTAGTGAACTAGAATCAGAAAGGAAACAAAGATACATTTTTCATTCACTGTATGTAATATTCAATTTTAAAAGCATGTATTTTCAAGAAGTTTAACTTGGTAGCTGACAGTGAAATGCCAGCATTTTATAAAACTTGAGAACGGAATTAAAATTAGAAACTGCTGCGACCAAGACTTATACCAACAAGTCCATGCAAAACATTTCATTTTTGAGATGGTAAATATCTCCTAAAAGCTGACCAAATTATAAAGCTGAATAATGAAATACCTTAAGGATTACAAAACCTCAAAAGCAAAAATCCTAATAGCAAACATATTCTCTACATGTTACTCAACACTGGTCAAAACCAAAACTGAGCAAAGCAAACAATAACTATTATCAAATAACAAATGACCATGTTACAATTATTTCACGTTACATTTTACTACTCAACTATCACTCACCAGAGGCAGTAACCACTCTGGTATTAAACAATACTCTTGTAGGCAACAGAGAGATGGAGGAAGCCCACCTTATTTTCCTTTAATTAAAAAGAAAGAAAGGAACCTTTGAGACAAATACCTTTTCTAATCACCATTTCCGATAATGAACAGGCATACATCAGGCAGTTTGCATTACAGAACCATCAGCACAGAACAACAGTCAGAGGTGAGTGACCCCAGGGACTATCTCCACAGCTACAGCAAAGCTTCTCCCTGACACTAATCCTCCCTGTCATTCTCCCACTGTGCTCTAACCACACTGACATCCGCCTGCCTCACTGCAAGCTTAACAGGGCCCTTCCTGACTTTTTACTGACTCCCCCAATCAATGGTTCAAGCGTGCTCTTTTCACCATGTCCAAATGGCAGCTTCACTCATAATCAAAGTGCACTGCTCATGTTAAAGGGCTTTCGGAAAGGGTCTCCCATTTGCATTCATTTGCAAAGCAAACTACTTTTATTCACTTTGTTCTGCTATCAAGAATGTTCCCTGAAGCAGATAAATTGGCATAAATACAACCTGCCACTTAAGAGTCGGTAAATAATAGCCAATAGTACGGAGGATTTTATCAATCATTCTACTTGGTATCCACTAAAAGCTGAAAGACTCAAACATATTCATCTGTATAGTCTGCAGGATACCTGCATAAATTCACTTATATAAAAAGATAGCCTGCATTGGGTATGGCTGGAATTTCTTTGATATTTAATGAATGTCAGAAATCTAATTTTCCATGTCAGATGATTTAAAAATTTACACTGAGGTTTCTTTCTGTTTGTTTTTACTTTATATAGGGAAAAAATATTATTCTTTATTCATACATTATTTAGAGGAACAACCAAAAGATGTTAGTGATAGGATTGTAATTTGATTCTTAAGGAAATCATATTTTTATTGCTAAAAAGCTGAAGCTTTAATAAATACACTGATTGGTTTCAGAAATGCAAGAGTTAACTTTTAAATAGAATTTAAATACAAGCTTGAAGTATAAAATCATACCATGAATAGCAAGAAGTTGAAACTGCATATACATTGTATTGAATTATTGATACAGTATTCAAACTGTAACACACTATCAATGCAATTTCACAGTAAATCAAATCATCTTATTTCTGCATTGATTATAACAAACATTTATAGAGCAAACAAAATTATCTAAAATGTCAAAAATATAAGACATTATTTCACACAGTAAACTCTAAAATAATTTCTATTTTAAATAAATTGACTTTATAAATATGCTGCATATATGAACAATGAGTATTAAAAACCAATTTCTGGTTTTAATTCCTTGTTAATAACATGAGTCTAAAAGTACAGTGCCTCTCTTTTCTGGAAAGGAAACAATTTATATCAAATATTTGAAATGATATTCTGAAAAATCACCTACTGCTATGGCTCTTTCCTTTTACTTCATAGTTACTTTATAGTCATGACTTTTATTACTAATATTAAAAAAACTAGATTGATAATAACAAGAACCATAATCTGAAATATCTGAAAGAATCCTTTTAGCAAGTCATTATTGTCTCTCCTACAGCTATAAGGCACTTTCCTGAATGTGTAATTCCTCAGCAATAGTTAGTTGTGTCTTTAGAAGCAACAGAGCCTACTGTGATCCAGCTCCTACAGCAGCCATGAGGGTGGCCATGGTGTGAATGTATTCTCCCTGTTCTAATCTGGAGCCAACTGTAGCTGTGAAAGTCAAATGAATGCATAAGCATACTGCTTTGTCACTTAAAACCATGTGTGTCCAATATTATTGAAACACTGGGCCAAAAATTCATCTCTATAGTAAAATAATGGAAGATACCACATGGTGTGGGGACAGCTGTTGTGACTACACAAGCATTCCAATTTTGCATCAGAAAAGCTCCACTCTGGGAATAAATTTCCATACTGAATACAAAATAAAAATAAGCAGTTTTCAAGTTATTCATTATTTTAATGTAATAACCCAAAAATATATCTACTAAAGTAAGAACTGCTATAAAAATTTAATCAGCCTCATCAAATAATGTCCTTTTGGGATGGATTTTGTCATACAACCACCTATGTTCAAATGTTTGGTACCTTTAAAAATCTGTAAAATTCTTGGGGGATATGGGCAGAGGATGGAGGGGAAAGCACAGTATATATATATATATTCTATTTTATTGTACTTTAGGTGAAGGTTTACAGAACAAATATTTTCTCATTAAACAGTCAGTACACATACTGTTTTATGACATTGGTTAACAACCCCACAACATGTCAACATGCTCCCTTCTTGGACTTGGAGACCTTTTTTTTTTTGGTGAA